TGTGTGTGTGTGTGTGTGTGTGTGTATATATGTGTATATATATATATATATACACACACACACACACACACACACACACACTAATTGTTACAACTGTATACAATACAATATAATTGTATTTTATCCATAGCCTACTTTTGTGTTTAATCTAAATTGAAATGGACATTTCTATCACAATCTCTCTTCTTTAAAGGTCCACAAACCACTAGAGGTTTCTGAAACCCAGCTCTATATTGTTAAATGAATTATTAACACAAACTGTTCACTATAAACTGATCAGTAAGGTTGTTTTAATAACACTGAAACTCACAGCATCCACCAGGTTGACCACGGATTTGGCATGGTTGCGTGTTTGTTGCTTGGTCCTCACTCTCTTAAACTGTGGGAGAATATTCACATCGTTACAATTATATAAACATTAAATCAAAAGACTCAAACGTAGCACACTTAAATCCACATTTACTAAAGCCATTCATCACTTGCAACACTAATACTGGATTCACTGCTAAAGCATCGATCAGGAGAACACACAGTGTAAGAGAAGCAGAAGACCTCTAGTGGAGACGAGACTCGCTCAAGAAGGACATTACACATGACTGGATAAACATTCTTATCAAACAATAGTCCCACTCCTATCCTAAAAACACAACTTTACCATTAAACCCTTGTGAAAAAGAAGAGTGCTTTCTTATTGAATGAACACTTGTAGTGTACTTCAAATTTTAAAAATAGCCTATATTTTTAAAAACTGTACTTCCAGATAAAATATTAATGAAATCAAAGGCACCACATGTACTTAAAGAGAGAACAATTTTATGACTACATTTCTTAACATACTTAAAAAAAAAGTACACTTTTTAAAATAATGTAAAAAATGTAAAGAAAAAAAATCATTACGTATCAATCATATAATAATTTGTTGTTGTGCTTTAAAGACATAGACCTTCACTTATTTTGATGAGTTGACTAACATACTAAAGCACATGAAAAGTACTGGATTATAAATTTATCTGTAGTGTAAACTACTAAACTGCAGCTCCATCATTACAAATATGTATACAAATATACAGTATTTAAATACATGACATACAAGTTTCAAAAGTACGGAGCCCCGCACATGACATGCAAGAAAAAATAAATAAATTGTGCGCACGATTTACTATTTCGTTCCCTCGATTTATAAATTGTGGCACGATTTACTATTTCGTTCCCTCGATTTATAAATTGTGGCACGATTTACTATTTCGTTCCCTCGATTTATAAATTGTGCACACGATTTAGCAAATCTATCAATTTATAAATCTAGGGAACGAAATAGTAAATCGTGCGCACAATTTACCAATTTGTTCTCTCGATTTATAAATCGTGTGCAAAATTTATAAATCGAGGGAACGAAATAGTAAATCATGCTTTAGCCTACTATTTTTTTCCTGCATGCCATGTGCGGGGCTCCGTACAAAAGAAATGGTATTGAAGTATATTTTAGTTTATCGTAAATGCTTGTCAGTACATTTGGCTGTAGTTTAACCATATTTCAAAAGCAATAAAATTATGGAATTACATATAAAGATGTACTTAAGTCATACTGAAGTGTGTCAAAAAATAGCAATTATCATGCAATGAAGTGTCTGAAAACATTATATTGCACTTGCAAGTGAATTCTAATTTAGTCTATTATTTTCATTATGTCTTTTTAAAAGTATGCTAAAGTGTACATGTTTTTCACAGAAAGGCCAATGATAATTTCACATACAGTGCTATTACTGAAAAATAGCATTTAAACACACCATGCTGTGGTCAATGATGATCATCAGTTCAATGTACTTCATCTCCTCAAACACGTTCCTCGGCATCTGGAAGAGAAACAGGACAACACAGCAAAAAACATGGCTCAGCTTATTCCCCATCTTACAGATGCTGCATGAATGCTCCTCACAAACAGATAAAAGTGTCCTAAGCACTTTCAGACATCACAAAACCTCATAATGGGCTGCTGTTACTTTCGTGAGATGAAAGAATGTGCATTGTTCTGGATCAAAGTTCTTGGCTGGATCCCAATTGACATACTTCTACAACATATTTAATTTATGAGCTTTAATTTAACTAATGGCCTCAAGACTGGCTGCTTCCTGCACACTGCAAGCATGCAGTTTTTCATAGAGATGGAAAAGCGCAGAAACTACCGTTCAAAAGTTTGTGCCTACATTTATTTAATAAAACATATAGCAAAACAGTAATACGATGAACTATTATAACAATTTTAAATAAGTTTGTTTTTTAATATATTTTAAAATGTAATTTATTCCAGTCTTTAGTGTCACATGATCCTTCAGAAATCATTCTAATATGTTGATTTGAAACACTTCTTATTATCAAACAGTTGTGCTGTTTAATGTTTTTTTTGTGGAAACTGTGACACAATTTCAGGATTCTGTGATGAATAGGAAGTTTGTTTATTTGAAATAGATTTTTTTTGTACTGTAAAATTATAATGTCTTTACTGTGTCTTTTGATCAACTTAATGCGTCCTTTCTGACTACAAATATGAATTTATTTATTTCAAAATGGGGTTTTGCCATGACAAATAAAACTGATTGATTGATCCATAATAGCTACATTGATAAACAGAAGTATCACTTTTTTCAAAATCGTAAAAATGTCTGTGAATCCAAACCTTTTGCACGCCATTATTAGTAAATATTACTAGTTCATAAAACTAAATAAAAGAATTAACGAATTTAACAAATGACCTAATTCATTCATAATTACTTGATGTTTTACGTTCATGCGTTTAAAAGTACTCTGGCAGCTTTGACCTTTTGTCTGCATTTTTCTAACACTGAAAAGTTGAGTCACGAACTCCTCCTCATTAACCCAAAAAGCACGAACGGATGCATATTTCTGAAATCCATTCATGCTGTTTTTAATTTACTAAAATGTAGAATATATTAATACAGTCTAGTATAGATAGCATGCAAATTGGGATGCAACCTTTGTGTAGTAAAAGTGCCAGTACTATTGCTGCTGCTATTGCACAAGTCTGAGTCAATCTGTCTGATATTATGGGATGTGTGCTGGTTTGCAGAGTGTTATTGACAGTGTTCTTGCTCTGCTCTGCAGTGGATCACTCTGTGGCCTGTATCCAGCATCATCTGCGTCCCACTCAAACCCTTACAGCTCGCTTTTTCCTCCGTCGAAGCCAAGACAAATCCTCCTCCATGCCTGCGCACACACAAACAAGTGTTTGTTTGTCAGCTTTTCCTATGCTTTTTGTTGGGCTCTTCAGGGATTCAAGTTCTTAGAGTCCCTCCCCAAAGAGAATTTTAATCTCTAACAAAAGTGCATCATTGTATTCAGTGAAAAAATTTGCATATTCTCTATTCTCTAAACAACATGCAGATCATTTTACTGCCAAAAAAAGGGCATCCAGTGCTCCTGCAGTATAATGAACTCAGCTAAAAGTTATGTGCTGTGAAATCTTTTACATTGGTAAAGGACTCTCAAAGTAACTCGTACTACTCACTGATTTTTTTCTTTAAGTTTGTAGTCGTGGCAGTAGAGACTTTTAAATGCTCTTCTTTTTTCTGTCTACTACAAAGCAGCCAGCAGACTCATACAGACATTTGTTGAAATATACTTGAATTAATTTTAAAAGAAAAACTTCACCCCAAAATGACAGTATTATATAGAACACTAATATTTTGTACTGTATTATTTTGAAGTGAATAATGATGTTAATTGTAGTTTGTCTCTCATAAAAAGCTATAGAAATATACAAAAAAAGTACACAAATCATATGAGCTATGTTAATAGTAGTGTTAATTGGTGCAGTTTTTTTAAAGAGCATCTGATTTTGTGTTCTACAGAAGAATAAAGTCATACCTTAAACCCTTTGTGAAAAGAAGTACACTTTGGCATACTTTAAAATAATACTTCAAATAACATACTTTGAACTGAATGTAATGTTTTTGGACATATAATTACATATTAATAGCAATTAAATTAAAATGCATTCTAGTTTAAATTGATATTAAATGTAATTAGTTGAATTTAGGCGTTCTTGTTTTGAGCCATTTATATATACACTGTAAAAAAAATTCCATAAAATCCTGTACAGCTATAAAATTTCACAATTACTTCTATTGAAATATGGTTAAAATGTGTTTCTGAATGTACTGACAATATTTCTACTGAAACTTGTATGTCATGTATTTAAATATATTTGTACTGTAATTACACATTTGTAGTGATGAAGTTGCAGTTGAATACATTTAAACTATATAACTTTAAATGTAATATTGAATATCACACTGCAACTAAAATTTACTTTACATGTGCTTTAATTAAAAATAAAGTGTACTTATTTAAAACACGGCAAAACACTGATTTAAAAAGTACTTTAAAAATAACTTTTTTTGATATTATTAACTTGTAAGTCGCTTTGGATAAAAGCATCTGCTAAATGACTAAATGTAAATTATTATTACAAAGTGCACTTTTTAAAAGTGTACTTGAAGGGTTAGTTCACCCAAAAATTAAAATTAGGCTGCGTTTTACTCACCCCCGAGGCATCTTAGGTGTATATGACTTTCTTCTTTCAGACGAATCCAGTCGGAGTAAAAATTGTCTTTGATCTTTCAAGCTGTTTAATGCCACTCAGCGGGTGTTGTATTGCTTCAGTCCAAAAGAACTTACTTCTTTACAAATCCTCGTTTTGTACTTCTAATTAGTGACCGTTGTTTTGTTTTGATCTCTCCGCTGTGCTTCTGCGTTCGTCACTTCTGAGCGGCGCATGCGCAACGCCGACCTCATACATCATCCGCCCGGAGCTGCTTCCGTTTACAACAGTGAGCGCAAGCTAGAATCAAGTGATTATTACGTTTTGAATATGGATATTTTTCTTACAAAAATGCATTGATTCGCTACAGAAGGCCTTTGTTCACCCCCCCGGAGCCGTGTGAGACACTTTTGTTTATGGATGGGCGATTTTTATTTAAGTTCTTTTGGACTGAAGCAATGCAACACCTGCTGAGTGGCATTAAACAGCTTGAAAGATCAAAGACAATTTTTAATATAACTCCGACTGGATTCGTCTGAAAGAAGAAAGTCATATACACCTAAGATGCCTCGGGGCTGAGTAAAACGCAGCCTAATTTCATTTTTGGGTGAACTAACCCTTTAAGTGTGTTTAAAAGCAGCCATGTCTCTCTTTAAATGCACTTAAGTGGCCTTTTATTTCATTATTATAATATTATCTACAAGTACAGATTTTAATAATATAATTTTAAGATTCGAAGTACACTACAAGTGCACATACAATTAAGTGTACTTCTTTTACACAAGGATGCTAGTATTTTCATTTTTGTGAGAACTCTTCCTTTATCTGATGTTGATGGAGGTGAGTGAGAGCTGTGCTGTAAGTACCTTCCTCTCCTGCAGATGGGGTTTGCTGCAGGATAGTCGTCCTGCGTAACACATGTGGTCTCGCTGTTCCCTCCTAATGAAAAACACAGAGCATGAGCAGCCAGATCTTACCAAGTTCATCCAAAGTGACTTCAGCTGAGCATGTCAAATTATATGCACACATGCTATGGTGCTTTAAAAGGCCTCGTGCTTTTGATTAGTGTTTGTAATGAATTGTGCTGTTTGGTTTTTGACTGTTTTTTTTTTTAGAAGAGGGTTTGTTAGTTTAAAATTAAAGTTGAGAGTATGTAAAGCCAGTGTGCGTAGGGAGAGAGAGAATGGAGTTCATTAAAGTGTTTACAGTTGCAGTTAATGTGCCGAGGAAATGGCTACACTAGAGCTAGTATCATTAGCAGAGCCATTCACAAAACAGCAGATTTGAATATGTTCTGTCTTATATCTCATATTCTCATTGCAGGCTTCATATGCCCAAATTAAAGGGACAGTTCACCCAAAAATGAAAATTCTGTCACTAATTACTCACCCATAGGTCGTTCCAAACCCATAAGATCTTCGTTCATCTTCGGAACACAAATTAAGATATTTTTGATGAAATCCGAGAGCTCTCTGACCCTGCATAGACCACAATACAACTGAAATGTTCAACAATGCCGTTACTACCTTTCTGGGTCTTGAATGTGGTAGTGGTGTTGCCAGGGCCGCATTAACCATTGGGCTAGGCGGGGCTGAAGCCCCGGGGCCCAAGCAAGGAGGGGGCCCGTCGCTGTGGAGTAGATTGACGGATATCGGTAGTGCCCATCGCCAAAGCCCCACCATGCCCCTCACTTTTTAGCACTATTATTTAGTGGAGTTTTCTGTAAATTCCATGCATTACCATTAGAGATTAAAACGTCACATTTGAAATTGTTTTACCAATCAAATGCATTTATTATATATTTTACTTTTGAACGAACTGTGCACGTAGCCTATCTATCAGGTGATCGCTGCTCCTAATGTCTGCATTTACCTCTCTTCACTTCATTCTGTGTAATCTAGAAACGGTCATGCAAAGAGCAATCTTCGATAAGTAAAAATGTCAACTATTCTAAAAAAAAAAAATAGTGAGAGAAAAAAATGAGGAGAGGGGAAAACATGAGTGAGTCACTAAAATCCACAGCTAGTTTATATTACTAAAGCTGATGATGGAGTGGGAGTTTTGGAACCGCAAATGGACCGGACACATGGAGCAGATAAAAACACAGTGTCATCATCCCCACAGATTTTAGGTTAGTTTGATTATTAACTTGATAGATGTATAGTGCTTTTTGTGTTTGAACAAACTCTATAGGCCTAGTATATTCGCTTATGGGTTGAGAAATTCATTTTGCGCGTCATGTAAGATTTTAGGTGATCGCTGCGCCTAATGTCTGCATTCACCTCTCTTCACTTCATTCTGGTGTAATCTAGAAACGGTCATGCAAAGAACAATCTTCGATAAGTAAAAATGTCAACTATTCTAAAAAAAAATAAATAGTGAGAGAAAAAAATGAGGAGAGAGTGGAAAACATGAGTGAGTCACTAAAATCCACAGCTAGTTTATTTTACTAAAGCTGATGATGGAGTGGGAGTTGTGGAACCGCAAAATGGACCGGACACATGGAGCAGATAAAAACACAGCATCATCATCCCCACGGATTTTAGGTTAGTTTGATTATTAACTTGATGTTGTTTTTTGGGTTTGAACAAACTCTAGGCCTAGTATCTTCGCTTATGGGTTGAGAAATTAATTTTGCGCGTCATGATGTAAGCTTTTCATTTAAACGCATTTTAAGCATCATTTAACTGTTCAGGGTCATTAAGCAGTGGGGCAGAATTCATTTTGGCAAATGCGCGCGCTAAGACGGTTTCTGATACTTGCTCGTACAGCACCTGACTGGAGTTATTTTTCGCACCTTGTGTTTAAACGTTCGAACATCAAATTCTTTGTTCTATTGTAATTCATGACTGTTTACTTGTCTTCAGTAAGTTTGTTTTTACATAGGCTAGTATTTTTATTTTTTAAATTATTTTTTTTGAGATATTGGAATTGGTAACAAGAATTATGAAACTTTGATTGGATAAAAATCCTATTTTAAGCTATATCATTATTGTGACGGGGGGCCCTGCAGTAAGTCATAGCCCCAGGGCCCAGTGAGGTCTTAATGTGGCCCTGGGTGTTGCTGTCTATGCAGGGTCAGAAAGCTCTTGGATTTCATTAAAAATATCTTAATTTGTGTTCTGAAGATGAACGAAGGTTTTACGGGTTTGGAATGACATGAGGGTGAATTATTAATGAAAGAATTTTCATTTTTGGGTGAACTACACCTTTAATGCAATCCAGTAAAGTCATGGAAAATTGTGCTTTTTTGTACGCTTATAGGACATAAACACATATTCAACATTCTCATGAGATTTCCCAAACATACACTACCAGTATGTTCAGAGAAACTGCATTTTTTATGATCAAAAATACAGTAATATTGTGAAAGATTATTGAATTATTCTTTTAGATTATTCTCTGATGAATGGAAAGTTTGATTAAGATCTTTTTTTTTAAATGTATTGTAACATAATAAATGTCTTCACTCTCATTTTTGATCAATTTAATGTGTCCTTATTAAATTAAAGTATCAATTTAACCAAATATCGTAAGCCTTAAAGATGTCTAACTGTACTATGAATTTACTATCTATCACTTATTACTATTTATGTATATCTCACACATTTCAGGTAAAATATATAAGGATTTTGTTAAATCTGTACGATTCACTTAAAAATAATAGTAAAATAATTAGATGTTCAGTCATCAATCTGCTTAAGTTTCATAATTTGTACAGAAATGTTTTTAGAGTTAGACTGTGGAGCTGGTTAAAGTAAAGTGTGTATGAAATTAACACTTACCATAGAGTGATTCTGTTTAAGTGGCTCAATTGTGTACACATGGACTCCATCATCAAACATGCCACTGAAAACCAGAGAGAGACAAACAGGCACATTTATCAATTTAGCTGCTTTTATCCAAAGCAACTTACAAATGAGAAAAAATACAGACACAGCTGAATAAGTCAGTATATAGTAGAGAAAGCATTGAGGCATTAAGTGGATGGATTCACTCCTGTACTCACTGTAAACCGTTACAAGTGGACAGAGCGGCACGAGAGTTGTCATTCCCTCTGATCTGGCCATGGTAATAACAGTGCTCTCCACCCTGACAACACACACACACACACACACGTTCAGTTTTGTCCTGTTCCCCATAATGCATTTGTTGCCACAACAGATGGACTGTGCAGAACCAGTGATGTTTTAAACTGACTGAATAGAATCAGAATCAGAATCAGAATCAGAAAGAGCTTTATTGCCAAGTATGTTTGCACATACAAGGAATTTGTTATAGTGTCACAAGCTTCCAGTACACGGAGACAACAACAACACACAGATAATAAAAATGAGATGTGAATAAAATACACATGCATAAATATAAACCACACAAAAAAAAAAGAATAAATTGTATGTACACGTGTGCTATAGATGGAATAGGAATAGAATAAAATAAAATAAGTTGTAGGGATGTACTAGGGTTTAGGGTGATAAATAGGTATAAGGTTATTGCACATACTTTAATTGCACAATGGGAGAACATTAACTGTTCATGAGGCAGATTGCCTGGGGAAAGAAACTGTTCTTGTGCCTGGCTGTCCTGGTATTCGGTGCGTAAGTCGGTATAAGATGAACCAGGCAGTGGTCAGAGAGTCCTACAGCTGCTCTGGGGACCGAGCGATATGCATCCTTTATTGTGGAGTAACAATGGTCCAGTATATTACTGTCTCTGGTGGGACATGTAACATGCTGTCTGTATTTTGGCAGTTCACAGGAAAGATTTGCTTTATTAAAGTCCCCGAGAATGATTAAAACATAGTCTGGGTGTTGTTGTTCTGTCTCTGTGATCAGATCAGCGAGTTTCTGTAAAGCTGAGCTCACGTGTGCTTGCGGAGGAATGTAGACATAGTGGACGTTTTGGCATATAAATGCATGAATGCCAGCATCTAATGTTTCTATACTATATGTAATAAAGAGATTCGGCGTGGAGTGTCAGGCTCTCTCTGCATTGCTGCAGCAGAGTAACGTCTGCTGGTCATGTGAGCTGATCTGCAGGTGAACCGAGCCGCGCTGATTCAGCAGTAAAGTCACAGATGCTTCCTGATTTAACACCTATCAGCATCTCTCTCTCTCTCTCCCTCTGTTCATGCTCTTTTCTCTGTCTCTCCCTCTCTCTCATAATCCTCATGTCACATCTGTCATCTTCCAGAAACATCTGATCTCTACCGTCACACAACACTGCAGGCGGTTACACTCGAAAAACAAATGGTTCGGCTTATTGAGTTATGATAGCTTCTAATGAAATTATATTCAACCAAAACACGACACTGAGTTAGAGGAGATAATTAATTACTGCCAAATAAACACATTTGACTATTTTCTTGTACTCCTAGTCTTTGTTTTATTTTTAAATGTAAAAAAAATACGGTAGCAACATTTTAGGTTTTACAGTTTTAATTTAATTTACAGTTAAATACCGTAATTCCATTAACTGATGTAATGTTACTATACCAACCTATTGAAGTACTGAAATTTGTTTTGTACCTTTGTAATACACTGATAACCATCAAATGTAGGTGGTGATGAGAAAGTCACATGATGAACCAAAGGCCATCACAAGCAGCTTTTAAATAATAACATATATAGAAGGTGCACAGTGTCATTCACACAAACGCTAAACACCATCATGGTAACACACATGAAACTGAAATAATGCAATAAACATTAATTTAGCAACATTAGGTGTAACATACAACCCTAATATACACAACTGATAAGAAAAAACTAAGAAGAAACATAATTATTATTATAGTTATTTCAACAAAAAAACATCACATTTGAAATGTAACGCAGGGAATTCTGGGAAAGTCCATTTACGGTTATTCACTGTAAATTATACGGTCTTTTTCACTTCCAAAAACGGTATACTACCGTAAAATTACATGTAGCATCCAATACAGTTTTTCACCGTATATAGTAGGGGAATTTAACGTTAACCATTTAACAGGTTTTTACTGTAGCATTTTTACAGTCTTTTACCGTTAAATTCACGGTCATTTTTTACAGTGTACCCATGAATTTAGACTGACATCTTACCTGACTATAGTGTAATTATGAGTTTATACTTCTGACGCATACTCAGAAAACCATTTTCCATTTGTGTCCCAGAGATTTATTATGGATATCATTAACAGGAAGGATAAAAAAGAATTTATTGCAAGGCAAACTGAAAAAACAAACAAACTGACTCTACCATAATTTACACAGTATAATAAGTATGAAAGCAACTGTACTGTTTTGGTTCCTCAATTATAATAACAATCTTGGTGTGTGAGGTACTGTACAGCAGTTTTCAAAGTTTTCAGATGAAATTATACTGTAGTTATTATTAATGCAATGATTAAAATAGCTACTATATGACTACCTATTCTCTAAAAAGTACACACAGTCCAGAGTGAAAGTACAAAAAATGAATATTTTTGGTTCATACCTTCCAAAGGATGGGCTTCCCATTCTCATAGTGTATCTCCACATAGTCTGAGGACAGCAGGTCACTGGAAAACACACACACACACACACAAATATGAACTGGCACAAATCATCTGTTGATTCTGGATATCACAAGACTCTGGTATTCTGGCTCAAGTTAACACATAGCGACCGCTTTCTGAGCCATATCCTTGGCTGAAGACTGTTTGCTTTGAAAGGAAAGTATCTGAGACCAATTTTGTTGGACTGGACCCTATAATTCAGGCCAAGTGTCACTGAACTCAGTTTAACATATGTGCAACACATGTTTTCTGCATATTTTCAGCACTTCTGTTGCATACCCTACATGCAAGTACTATTAGTATACTTATATATATAAGAGAGTATATTTAGTAGATATAAATGCACAGTTGATCCAGAATGACTATTTAATTATTCCTGTGGTAATTCACTCAATGACAGCGGCAGAACATGCATTAGTCAGACTTACTGTAGCAAGAATGTATAGAACAATTTGATGTAATTAAAAATGTAACTTGTTGTTATTATTATTTTTTTGCATAATATATCTCTATATTTGTAAATAGAGTTCACAAAAGGCTATTTAAAGCAAATAAATAAACAAAATAAAATAAAAGGATGAATAAATAATAAAATAAAATGAACAAAATAATAATTATAATCGGACATACACATATGTGACCATGGACCACAAAACCAGTCATAAGGGTCCATTTTTGGAAATTGAGATTTATACATCATCTGAAAGCTGAATAAATAAGCTTTCCATACGACAATAGGACAATATTTGACCGAGATACAACTATTTGAAAATACTACAACTGATGTCCTTCATTCATTAAACATGTAAAAACACATCCTTGTGGTAGTGAGTAGCTATCTTTTTAAAGTTTTGTGTATGTCAGTAACACTTTATATTAATATATA